CTTAGAACCTCAACATTACAAATCGGATCTCTCAGATTTACTTTCGGGATTCGATGTAAGTAACGATAATGAAAGACCTCGAGCTTCTTTGCACCTTGTACTTTAGCGACTGTTTCACAACCATCAGTGTGAACGTGGCGGATGGAAGCCTGAAAAACTCGATGCTTAGTGTTTAAGCTTATTTCGCATCGATTCCACAAAGGTCTGATAAGTTGCAGAAAGGCTCTTCTAGCTCTATCTACTCGAAATTGTATTTTATCTTGTTTGATCTGCTTGTAGAGCTAATATACTTGAAAACTTTGGTTGGTTCGACAAGCTCCCCCATTAATCGTGAGGGTTTGTCTAAAGTAGCTTGCTTTTCGACCAGTTGATCTTGAGCCCCAATGGACTGGATAGGCTGATTAATGCGGCTGACAACGGGCTGGAGGTTGTCCATGGTGTCCCAAGGTACGCCGACATCATCCCCAATCTCAAGGCCAGCAATCTGTGTATGAGGCGAGCTGCACTCTGGGGTAGTCGACGAGTGCTTGTTGCATTATCCGATCTACGGTTTAATTGGATAACACCGGCGATTAGGGGCAACCTTGCCTGACTCTGGAGCTTATTGCAAACTCAGCTGGTTCTCTTCCGTGGGTCCCTGATTAGTGCGACTTTGCAAGCCTGATGAACTTCTCCGACATCCCGTAGGGCTGCAATATGCACCACAAGTATTCTAGATTGTTGGAACTTGTAGCGGTGTTCCAGAATCCTACGGAGAGTAAAGAGTTGTTCAAATGGAGTGGAAAAGAGAATGCAGCGGATCGACCAGAGTTGGTAGGCAAGGTGTTGTGGTATTCCGTCTTCTCCATAGGCCTTCCTGCTTTTTAGAGACGTGACTGTATTGGCGATTTCCGTCCTGCTAGGTGGGTCACAATTGTTTCCGTGCGTCTACGAACTGTTGGACCTGTGGTGAACCAGGTTGGCTTGATGATCGGTTGAGCAGCCCGTCAAAGTGTTCGACCCACTTCCGCATTTTCTGTTCACTTCCCTGAATAAGTTGGTTCGTGGTGTTGCGCAACAGTGTGTAACGTTTTACGAATCAAGCGAACGGGTGCGGAACGATACATGAGCTGTAATAGAAGAAAGAACTTTATATAATATACAATAGAAAAGGGTGTGTAAACAAAAGAACCAGAATATGAAATTTACCCCGGCTGGAAAACGACTGTTTATGTAAAGTGGAACACTTCGGGTATGTGTTTTGTAGTGTGAAAAAAGGCTGAGTAGTAAGTTCCGTTTCGTGCTTCTCTCCTTCGTAGATTGTAAAGGCGTGTTCTCTGCGGTTGTTTTAGTATATCGGTATATGAGTGCGGTGTGAGCGTTGTCGGTGTTGGGGTGCATTCTTCATCGAGACTAGGAGATTCGGATAAGGAGTCGGATTCCGTCAGAGGGACGATGTACAGCGGTGCGGGGGTGGGGGGTCTATTGGTACTAGGAGTTCGAGTGTCGATATCGGTGGTTCTCCCCGGGGGCCAAACGGTAAATGGAAACATTCTCTGTTCTTCCATTAGGAAGTTTCACCAAGGCGTAATGCAGATTGCAGTTGATACGGTCAACTTCTTCCGCAAGGGGATCCAGTTTTGAGGACCGATCTATGCGTTTGAACAGTACGCGGCCAAGGATAGTTAACCAGGTTGGAAGACACGTACCACTGGTGGAGCGTCGGGGGGAAAAAGTCGTTCATGGGAATTGACTTGATAAATTCCTTCCAAGAGGGTCGAAACGTCGTCACCAAAAAATGAACTTGTTTTTGGTTTTTTCATCGTCATGGCTAATCCAAACGTTTTCCTTCACGGATCTAATACTATGAGCATGACGCACAATTACTTCAATAACATCCGTTCCAAATTTGGATCTGATATTGTGAAACTTATTAACAAGATTATATTTCGCCTGTTCGCCGAACTTGGCAATTTGTTTGCAAAGGTTTCATCACCAGCCGAGGTGACATCATCAGTGCTTGTGAAGTGGGAAGATGCTTTCGCTAATTTGATGGTTTAGCCATGGGAAGTCCCTTGAGTCCCATTCCAGCGGATATATTTGTGTCAAGCCCGGAGCGGATGATTCCTTTAAGTGTTCTGTGTAAACGATACGTGGACGATGGTTTCTTATGGGTTGACATCAATTTCCCGTAAAAATGAACCGATTTTCAGAAAGATTTTTGCCTTCTTGACAGCTTATACCTAACAGTTGCCTACCTTCAGCTACTTTTCCAGGCTGCAGAAAACCGTGTGGAGATCAACATATGAAGTAAAAATGAGACAAAAAACGACATAGAGAGACAAGGTCTGGTGTGTGGCTTCTGTTTTGTCGGCCAAAGTCCTAGAAGATAGAATCGGTTGATTATAAAGTATGCGTTAAGAAATTTATTTTTGGCATATTGGACCAGGTGGTTACAAAAATAAGACGATGATAGTTCAGATATCTGACTGGCCGATCAAAGCTCAGTTTATAACGATGACAGAGGTGCGCAAGTGGAGCAAACTAATATGACAAGACCAGTGATAGTCAGTCCTATAGTCGTTAGGGGAGTGAGAGAACAAAAGGAAAACGGTAGAGAGATGGGTAGATTAAAAGTCGTGAGCTGAGGCGAGAGAGCGAGATGAAGGTAGGTAAGATATATGTAACTGCCTAATGCGATATATCAAAAAGAAATTTCTTCGCGAACACCGCTTTCTACATTGTCTATGGGAATATTCTATGATTATAAACACTCAAGGATGTGGTAGCGAGCAAATAGCTCTGTTTTTCTGATTTTATATAAATTCAATCAATAACGTTTTTAGCCAGCAGTGCACGTTGACTGTCCTTCCACAAACCACGTTATTAAATTCTCTTTCACGCGTCGAACACTAATCACTAGCATTCTGCTTTTGACTGTGAGGAGGCATTTTTTTTATCAAACCCCACATAACTTCGTTTAATAATGAATTTGCGAACATTTCTCTATTGTGTAGTTTTTTCGAAACCCTGTACAGTGCAAACAATTTTTTTATTCCTTCTGTCGCCCCCATGACAGCCAAAATTCATTCTTCTTGTGATGTCCAACTGGCTGCACTTCCAGACTTGTCCGGGGCTATAAATGTGACCGAAGCTGAGCATGATCGGGGAATAGTGAGTCTAGATGATGAGGACCGACTATTACAACGTTTGAATCTGCTGCATCAGCAACAATGAGTCACAGATCCGGTTCGTCCCGATTCCCATGTGTTCAATTGGTTGTCACAACTTCTATCGGACAACGTGATGTAAACAGATCTCTCTTGTTTTGTTTTCTTTTCGATTCTCCATTTATCTTCACGCATTCGGGAACCGCTCCGTCGTCAAACATTTCTTTCACAACCGTTTCTCATCTGTCAGGATTTCATTTTTCTTTTCCTTTGCCTGTACATAACTGTCCACCTTTTTTTATTTATTTTCACTCACGGAATAGGTTTGGGGGTGGCGGGGTGGGCATATAAAATAAATGCTCACAGGAAGTCAGCCTTTTTAAAAAGTGTGACTGGTTGGTCTCTTTGGAGACGTTTATGCCTCACTGTAATCTGACTGATGAGGTGAAATAGCTATGCTGAGTAAATGGGTAGATAATCCTGACGCTGCTTGAATACATGAATTCGTCTTGTTCAGATAAAGAGCATATCAAATGCACACTAATCACAATAAGATGAACTTTTCTTTTTTGCACAGTAGACCTTATAACAGGATAACGTATCAGAACGTTATTACGAGCTATTATGAAAAATATACCAAAATCTGTACACCGTATATATATATATATATATATATATATATCACCGGCTTAAGAACAAGCATCGTGTCAACGCAACAAAGAACAACGGGGTTGGGACACAAAACAATGAGATAGAGTCAAACAGTTATGATGGGTAACAAGAATAGCATTTCTGTTTGTTTCACCGTGCACCTTTTGATATTTTTCAAGTTGGTTTATTGTTTTTCTTTTTGTGCACTACATTTCAACAGGCAGGACACCGCAACCGCTCCCGCGCCGTGTATTCTACGCCATATTTCTCAGCGTCTCTACCCAACGACAATCTTCGTCCTTTGGATATCAATCTGGAAGACGGATTGAACTATCGACTCTATAGCTGAAGGTAGCTTATTCGTACCGCTACGCCAGGTCATGATCTGACCGCCACATTGCTTATTCCAGCACGGAAATGTGAACGAGGGGAAGGCATACGCAAAACGTGGCCAAGCTGTCGGTGGTGGTGGTGGAAGATTACTTCTTTTAGACAACGATTATCCACACCCAAAACACGACAACGAACCTCGTCATTGCTCCTCCAGTGTTCCCACCAGACACGAGCAATGCTTCAGGGATATCGGTGGTTGAATACAGAAAGTCGATTAGCATTGTCAACGCGAAGGGCCAGGTCTCGTAGTTGTAACACAGAACACCACAAACAGCGCGATGTACACCCTTCCCTTAAGGGACAAACGGATGTCATGGCGGTGCCACAGGTGTCGCAGGTTGGTGAAAGCTGCTCTAGCTTTCGAGAAGAGAAAAAGGGACAGAGTTGCTCTCTGGAGCACCTCTGAATTGACCGGTAGCGAGTCAGAAGTTTTTCCAGGAAAGTTCGTTAAGTTTGTTCTACCAGTAAAATATTATTAGAGTCGAGGCGAGGTAGTATGGGACAATCCAGCACCTTGGAGTAGAGACAAAAGCCTGTCTCTGTCTACACGGTTAAAAGCAATACTATGGTCAAGGAAATATACGAAATGCTGTGCCATGAATGTCTAGTTTGCCAAAACGGTTCCTTTTCGCACAGCAAACATGTCAGGATCGTTCGAAAACATTAGGTCAGGCTGTGCGTTTCCTCTTGTGGGGAAATTTACAAGATTTTGAAGAGATAAATCGAGAAATGAACATCAGCATGGTTAAAATCACCGCTAACTATAAAAAGAGAGCGTTTCGTGTAGTTTGGATATAAATGAATCAGCAAAAGTTTGTACATCAGAAATTGTACCGGAGGGCGCAATGCAAATGTTTCATGCTATTATGGAACGATGTTTACTAGAAAAATGGGGTTTACATTCAACCAAAATATATGAGATATGACCTATGTTTCAGGTGAAGCTAATCTTTGTAGACTGACACCAGGAAGATTTGGCATATGTTATTAGACCACTACGACGATTTCTTAGTAAAACGTTTCTATCGAAGCGTTGCATATCAAGGAAATCCAGCTCAAACAAGGAGTCATTGATGTCAGGATGCAGCCAAGTTTCTTTCAGCATAATTGTCCTCAATGTGTGATATTTTTCATCCTCAACAATTTCGTGAAGTCGCTCATTTTTCCAAATAGTGATCGGACGTTCGATGAGCAAATAGCAGGGCTATATATTTTCCGAGGTTTGTGTTACGTACAGCCACTTGCAAGCATACTTGGTGTTTTCTGAGGAAACCTAACCTAGACGGTCTGCATTTTTTGTATCTATTTTTAAGTTAACGACTGAACTGATAAAAATTGCCAACCTTGCGCGATAACACAAAGTTTAAAATTCTTCAAAGATTCCGGGGCGTAGGTAATCATAAAATCGACGAAAGAAATTAAATCCAATAAGTGATGTAAGCGTTGATAAATTATCCACTGAAGCACAAATGTAGCACGACCGAATTTCGAAGGCCCCACCATCTCGGTATTGTATACCACCAAGTTTTGCATCACTTATTACAGTAACTCTCTCTCTTTCTTATGCCTTGCAATACTTGACTCTATCCAAAGTTCAAATCTCACCGTTATCTTCAATCTCGAAGGGAATTCACCAAGATGGTCTACTGGCAAACTATCATGCCTTGCTGTTCGTATTTGTAATCTCACAAAAATTCAGATCCTATGAGCCGATCATCGTTACCTGTGCATATCAGCCTTTCCATAACACGAGATTATTGATCTGTGACATTCTCCGGAGCTAGAAGCTTTCTTTCTTAGATTTCCTGACTGCCGGGAGGAACAATGTGGAACATGCCAGGAAACACTTGTGACAATACATGTAATTAATGCTCATTTTTGGTATTCAGTGACCCAAGAACAGATGTAACATTTTTCGGACAACAAACGTATGTGATACGATCGATAAAATCCCAGTGCAACTTTCGGTTTCAAGGCATCCTTACCGCTCGTATTGGCCTACTCGTGTCACAGGCTTGAGCCCTGCAGTCCGATTTATAGTACTAAACTTAGGGTGATCACTATTTCCACAAAATAGGAACTGCACATTTCTTGTCATCGCTGACCGGTTTCCAACCGGGGTTTTGTCCGAGTCGATCACTTCAATCTGAATGTTAGTAAAATGCGCATTGCGCACACCAGCGGGGTTATTACCAATTCCAAATAACCAAATTGTTCACTTGTTTCAAAAGTCATCCATTTTCTGGCTGGTATTGAGAGAAAGAAAGGTAGCAAAATATAGAAACGTTTATTCTGCAAAATGTAATAAATCGTATTACAAACATGCCTCAGGAAATGTTCCCTGACCTCTGAAGGAATAATTGTTGGTATCGAAGATAATTGATAAAAATCACCCCCATATGAGCCGATTGAGTACATGTGCTTCTTGGCCTCCAATGATTCCACGACAAAAAGTCTGCAGTAGTTAAGGAAATTGAAGTCACGAGTAGAGATTTGTAATAGTATTACTTAGAATAGACAATTATTTCCTGCTTGACGCAGTTAGTAAGTGAATGAACAAACGATTTTCGGTAGAAACAAGCCAACGGTAAAGTTGATATGAATGGCAGACTGTTGAGAAGACGTTTTCTTGAGTGAAAAAGGAACTAACTCCTAGATGACACCTAAGTATGCATCCAGTGCAACCGAAGTCATATGACTACTGATCACATCTCGACCTTGGATTATTGTCCCTCAAGATAAAGCACGGCAAATCGATACGTTACATTTGAAACCATGGCAACCTTCTCTTACCGGACTACCAAAAACTAGTAGGGAAGGGTGTGGCCCCTGTTAAGTAGAACTGCATTGGAAACTATTCTCTAAATAAATGGCCCCTTGGTAGTTAAGTATAATACTAATTCTGTCACACAGGGTCTAGTGTATGCAAAGCTATTTATGATGGAATTAGAAATCAATATGGCTAGAAAACGGATTTTGACAAGATGAATAGAGTCGTATACAAGCATGGGAGGAGATGAAAAGCCTTGCTTCGATCTGCGGAGACGGCTCGAGAATTCTGAAAATAACTATAGGCACACCAGAAATAGCTACGACTGTCTTGCAGTCGTGGTACGACAACAGGATCAAGGGACCATCAGAACTGAGGTTGAAACTGATGCACAACACAGGGACCAAAAGTGTTTCTCAGGCAGAAAATATCACCTTCATACAAGTTGGGTTCCCACAGACTTCATGTTCCTTCCAACAACTGGCAGATCAGACCCAAAAAATTCCCTTAGCCGACCACGATACGGTCGGCTCAACTGACCCTCTGCTCCGCCACCAACTGCATTGTTTCCACACTAACTCCCAAGGTTTCCTCAGCAAATTTTCAGAGGTAGAACTGCGTTGTCAAACTAGTCAATGGGATATTATTGCAGTCACCGAAACCTGGCTGACAACCGACATTCTGGACTCAGAATTAAGCTTACCCGGCATGACTCTGCTCAGACGCGATCGCACTACGATTTTGGTAGTGCGCCAATCTATCTTGGCAGCAAACTACAATGTGAAGTAATTGATTATCCTGCTGCGGTTTCTGACGCACTATGGTGCAAAGTGCGATATCGGCTTGATCGGTGTGGTGTACCGCTCTCCCTTATCCACAGACTCAGCCAATGAGACACTATTGCAAACCATGTATCACATTCTATCACTGAAGTTCACACATGTTCTCATTATGGGTGACTTCAATTGCCCTAACCCAGTTAAATCGGCGACCCCTCTGCAACCGTTTGAGAGGAAACTTGCACAACTTACGGAAACCTTTCCACTTTACAGTTTTGTGAAGGAGCCCACGAGGTTTGGAGCCAACCAGTCACCATCGGTTTTGGACCTGATGTTAGCTAACGAGGAACTGATGATGGAAACTATCTCCACTGGAACTCCATTAGGGCGTAGTGGTCATGCTGTGCTGACGTTTGACTACATTTGCTATGGTTCCGTACCGCACCATTCTACGGTTAGCTCCTGTATGTTTATTGACTACACTGAAATTTTGAAATTTTGGCGAGAGATTTCCAATGGAAATTTCCCAACGAACAGTGTGATCCCCTGGTATCATGGGAATAATTTACAAACCGCCTGACGGAAATGGTGGAAGGCGCGACGAAGACCAAACGTATCACCTACTCAACTGGTCAAAGGTCAGCAATTCGAAGTCGGACAAAAAAGTGGATTTCGCAGAGGAATACCTCATGAAGAGCTTATAAACGATCTACTTGTTACAACACATGGTATGCCTACTGTCAACTCCGAAAGCACTGCACCAAGTTGGCGCCAGAAGACAAGTTAATACACCAAGAAATGCTCGTGCCCAAAGTCATATCAAATCACAAGCTGTTGTACAAACACATAAATGCTACCAGAAAAGTAAAGTCTGGTGTTCCAGCGTTAAGAGTGGCAGAACGTGTTTCAGTCACAACAAAGGAGGCAGCTGAAATGTTAAAACGTCAGTAAGCTCAAGTGTTCACCGCATCTGCGAACTCCGGTCTACGACTGCTTCTGTTACTTGAGGATACATCACATCGAGTGCTCACCACAATTGATTTCCCCCCAGAAATCGTAGCATCGAAACTGCAGTGTTTGAAAAGGAGCTCATCTCCTGGGGTAGATAATATCCATCCACAAACCCNTAGCTCAACCACTAAGCAAACTGTTCCAACAAATGTTCAACAGAACTGTGCCCCCAAAAACATGGAAACAAGGGATAATCTCTCCGATGTACAAGGGCGGTTGTCGTAGCGACCCAGCTAACTACCGCCCCGTTACTCTCCTCCCCGTATTATCCAAAGTCATGGAATCCATTGTCGCAGACATTGTGATGAGTCACTTGGAAAAATATAACGTGTTATCCCCTGCTCAACATGGGTTTCGTCGCAGGCGATCGTGTACCACTAACCTGATTCTGGCCCG